AGGAGGAGGAGGAGGAGGAGGAGGAGGAGGATTAGATGCTGGATCGATTGGGTATTAGGGATCTCTCTCCCTACCGCATCTGGTCCGTGATTCTGGTGTCGAGGAGAGGGAGGGGCACTTCGAGATTGAGTGACGGTCGACCTAGACACAACACACACAACTGCAAGACTTGATTGATAATATCAAGGGAATATCATGCTAGAGTTTTGACGTAATGATGGGCATGTGTCTCTCGCAGGCAACGATATTGTATTGGACACGATTGACTGGCGCGAGTCGGAGAACTACGAACCGGACGAAAGAAGGGATGGCACGATTATGCAGGGTGCGTGGACAACTAGTATCTTGGTATCCGGTTATCTGAGAGCTTGACTACCTCCTAATGGGGACACGATAAATAAACGAGGTACAAGGTTCGTCCATGTTCTGGCCCTAGCTACGGAGTACGAGGGACTCCGTATGAGTCCGTACCTGTTAAAAAAAGGGGGATGCTTGTACTACTTGTACCGAGTGCTCGGTATGCCTCGTGCCACCTGAAAGAGTAAGTGCGGCCCCCGTCAATTCTTTCCCTTTTATCATCTTATCGGTCGGTCCAGATTCTTCCGACTCCCGATTTGCCAAGCACGGCAAGTCACTCACTACTAGTAGAAGTAGGATGGGCAGATGGGATGGGATGGGATTCTTTTCCTTGTTCCTCTCCTCAAGGCTTCATCTCTCGCTCTGTCTCTATCTTTTCTCCTCCTCATTCAAGACGTATAGCTCACATATAGCGGCAACACATCCACGTTCCTCTCCACGCAGACACGGCATCCACTCGACAGGAACATGTCGATGGGCTGTTTCTCCGCCCTCGCGCTTCATCCTTCTCGTCTAGAACCATCGCCATGCCCAAGGATCGTACAGACTCTGTCCGTTCACCCGGCGCTTCGCGATCACATACCAGCTTGCTTAATGCCAAAATCTTCCTCCCTTTCATGCCCAGGCATATCGTTGTGCAAAGCAATGATAAGAAGAAGATGCTCCCTGTGACCTGGGCAAGCATTTAACGCAAGATCGTTTCCCGTTCAATCATCAACCATGAAATGACCATCGTCCTCGTCTCCTCTTGCCTCTGGCATCTCTGGATCTTGATGAGAAATGCACGGTCAACCTCCTTCACTCCCATCATCTTTAGATTGCTTTCAAGTCGTTGGCATGTTGTTTCTGGCCGGTCTAGGCTCCGAATGTCACAATTCCGTATAGTCTTCAGCGCCGTATCCAAGATGCAAATGGAGTGTAGTGCCAGTCGGCGCCTGTATGATCCTTTCCTAGTAGCCATTAAATTCGTACCCCCAGAGCTCCAGTCATGTCCTTTGTTACCGCCGCCTGAAATTCCGATGCGAAATTATCATTGTCGACCCTTTTCTCGCCATTTCAAAAGTTCGCTTAGACTTGCTAAACTGCAGCCCATGCGCATAAAATCGTTCCGCAGCAATTCGTCGGCACTGGCGCGGCTCCTGACGTCGACACAGAGACAGACACTGAGGAATGCCTTCAGCTCCCGTGATAGTTTATTGGGGTTCTTTAACCGCGGTGTGCCGTTGGTCGCGATCAAGAACAATGCCTTGAGGGGCTCCTCGTTAAGATATGGCGGCTCCGATTCTATCATCTCGATGGCCATGATGCCCAGAGACCAAATGTCGACTTTGGGTCCGTACTCCTTTTGCTTCACAACCTCGGGCGCCATCCAGTAGGGTGTCCCAACCATCGTCGCGCGTTTGCTCTTTGACTCGGTGAGCTTAGCACAGAACCCAAAATCGGCTAGAGTCCGTGTCAGCAAAATCATCACTTTCGGTTAGAGAATCCGGGTCACTTACTGATCTTGACATTACCCACACGATCGAGCAGCACATTGTCACTCTTGATGTCTCGGTGAATGATGTCTTGAGAATGCAAGTGAGCGAGACCCTTGCAGGTTTCGTAGCAGATTGTAGCAATCTGATCCTCGGTGATCACTGGGTTATTGTCGATGATATCTGTAAGCGCACCACCCTCCATGAACTCCATCACCACCCACAGCTCGTTGTTCTGTTCTTGGAGGAAAGAGTCGAGGAAGTTGACAATATTTGGATGTTTGGAATCTTTCATGACGATGATTTCGTTGACGATCAGCTCCTTGCGAGGTTGATTGCGGAGATCCATCTGCTTGATCGCCACCTGGCCCTTAGGGCCATGTGTGCGGTATATTTCACGCGCAACAGCCGATGTTGCACTTTCCTTGACTCGGGCAACGTACACCGAACCAGACGCGCCTTGACCAATCTTCTTTTGTTTGCTGTATGACTCCAAAGGATTGTCTTTGGACACCACCTGCTTGAGCTTGGCCATGACTTCGCTCTCGCTCATGCTCGACATCCGGACTTCCTTGGCTCGCTCTTCGACTGGCTTCTTCGCTGTCAATGCAATCTCGGCCTCTTTGCGAGGGTCAGCCGCAGGTTTTGCTTGTGGCTGTTTGGCGACATTGAGAGGTTTGGGCTGCTGTACAGATCCCTGCGACCGACTCGCAGATTGTCCATTGACGCCGTTGGTTTGTGGCTTGGTTGTGTTATCCTTCCGGGATACTTCATCTGGAGGATATCTGGCATTTGGTGAAGGTTGACGATCACGCTCTCTGCTCTCTGGTGATCGTAACGAAGTCTGGCTGGAAGAGAGTGACTGGGGAATGGACTTTTGGGAGCTGCTGGTCGGAGCAGAAGGAGCCGGTCTTTGTGCAGTGGGATTTTGCCTTGCCGACCCGGAGGATGATTGCTGGGGAGCACTGGGAGCGGCCCTCGCGGGGTTGTATCTGGGATCTTGTCTGTTAGGCCCACGATCAGGGCCACCCCCGTACCCTCCGATCTCCTGCTGGGCTAACGGTGGGCGTGTCTTCGGTAACGAAGCGTTGTAAGCTTCTTGCTCTCTGCGGCTGCGCTCCATATCTTCTCGCTCCTGTTCCCTCTGTCTTTCAACCTCTCTTGCCCGCTTCGCTTCCGCCTCCATCTGACGTCGCTTTTGCTCTTCCATGGCGATGGCTTTAATCCGGGCGGCATCAGCCTCCATGTCGTATCCACCCTTATCTGTTTGGGCCCGTTGCAAGGGCGGTTTACTGGGGGGAGTCCCTATCCGGGAAGGTCCTTCCTGATATTTGTTGATGAACTGATTAGAATTATATCGTTGCGCATCTGTGGGTGGTGCTGGCCTTGGAGGAGCAACACTATTGCCCCCTGTCGTGTATCCAAGTTGTTTATTCGGCTGTGTAGCTGGGGGAGTGACCATGCCGGGGGTGTACATCTCGGGGTGCTGCTCACGCATCTTCTGGTCTGAAACGAATTGTAAAACTTCAATGACGGCCTGAGGATTTTTCTTGTAATCGTCTCTTGTAATAGCGGAATTGTTCAACAGTTTCTCCCACTCCTGTGGTAATCCAACAAAGCCACCTGTTTGAGGGTCAAAGCCAACATGGATACGATGGCTGAAATTTGTAGGGTTACTCACACCGCCCATGCCTGGGCACCGCTCGTATATTTTGTCGATCCAATCATAAATCTCGTCGTCGCTCCGGACTTCACAGGTGATTGTCCGGGTTGGCATGTCACGAGCCATGATGATTTTACCACCAGCATCTTTGGGATTTGCAATGCGGGTGATCTCAAAGGCCATCCGGGTCTCCTCAGAACGAGTCACCCCCGTCACGGTATTCAGTTGGATGGACTGCATGAGCTTTCCATTCTCACTCTTCAAGAAATCCAGTCTGAACTCGCGGAGAATCAGGTATCGTTGGTTCCATTGCGCGAGGAATTTGTCTTCTTTGCAGCGCACATGGCCTTCCTTGATGATCGTCACCGGGCCCGAGGGTTTTCCATTCGTTGACAATGATAGAGAGCTGCCGTTGGAGAAGTAGGGCGCACTTGGAGTGCTGATGGCTGGCGAAGCGGGGCCTCCTCCCAAAGACATGGACTCAAAGGTGCTCGTCGGTATCGAGGTAGTTGAGCGCTGCAACTCCAGATGTCGAGGTCGATCGGTAGGGGGACGAGGTGCTGGACCTGGATTCATAAACTGGCCCGACGAGTAGAAACTGCTAAAGGGTCAGCTGCGAGACCACCAAAGTGCGGTGGAGTTTCTCAGTCCGGCTGGAAGGTAACATACCCATTTTCGGGCCCTGAAGTCATTGTCGGCACGATGTCTGGAAGGGCCTCCTCTGCTACACGTCTGGTCTGGTATTGTCCGCGGGACGCAAGACAGGAGGTTGATATCGTAGCAGAGTTGGAGTTCAGTGAGCAGCAGTAGTCGGTTGAGAACGCGCAGGCAGTGACAGCATGCGTGCGGCTCCGAAAACCTGAGAGTACCCAAGCGAGGTAGACGAGCAGGAGCCGGAAACCGTCTTGCGAGGTTTCAGTGAATCTGTTTGAGATACTTCTGTACTGAGTCTTGGCCTGGGGCTGGTGTGTTGGTGAGCGCAGTCTGATCCACACCGATTGACGGATGATACTTTGGGCAGCGCTATTGGGTCAAAGAAGGTACTTTGACGTGAGTATCAGTGAATAGACAATGGCTTTGTACGCCAGGGGCCGGTAAGACGTCTTAAGGTCGTGGCTTTTGGATCTGGAGAATAAGAATTGGTCTAGGGAGTAACAGCGAAAGCGAGGGTGAGGTAGCGCAGCAGGAGGAACAGGGCTCCTGTAGGAGGATGGTACGGGTGGGTGGGCGAGCGAACGCACGAGTAACAGACCCCAATGGAGTCGATTAGGGATCAGGCTGAAACCTGTAAACCAGGAAGAGGAGTATAGGATTGGCCTGGATTTGTCCAATAGGCAGCCCGTCCTTCACTGCAACAACGGGCGGCTACCAAAAGGTGGAAGAGATGCAGGAGGTGGTAGGAGGCGAGGAGGATGGTGCGGTGGGAGGCAAACAAATAACTGGGGGGCGTGGGAGGCACCCAGCAGGAAGGAGGAGGATGACGATTGGGGGAGACAAACCCTCTGTGCTGGGCATCAACACGCCTGGATGAGTCTTCTTGTGGTAGTAAATCCGGTTAAACAGCCTGGGTTTATTGGGGCTGCCCAGGGACGTGGGTACCTAGCTAGGTGCGATCTTCACTGAGAAGATTCAACCTCAGGGTCACTTGTCCGACGTACCCATCTGAAACACTCTCAGGAGTTGGAAATTCGCCGAACAAGTGCGCTCAATCGCCTTTGATCCACGCCAACTGCGTGCCACCTGCATGGCTGATTGCTTTTGGTTTCTAGGAACAAGCCCTGTCTGTCGCGTTCCACAGCCTATCTGTCTTCGGGCCCAGACAACGAATGAAAGGCCTTGTACCAGGGTATCCGATGTCTCTTTGTCCTGCCTAGTCGCAAACTGAACCAGCCACCCTTTGGGCCTCCCCGCCATTACCGAGATGGATGAGTGTTTCAAAAAAGTCCCTCCGCAATTTGGTCAAAGTATAAAACTAGGAGATGTCAAAGGCTTGCAGAAAGAGGAGGCCATTGGACAACAGTGACGACAGTGACGACTTCTTGATCGGTTCGATGTCTGCGGAATGGTCCATCTGTTTCGACAAGCTGTCAGTGAATCTTGTGAAGTTGTCCTGACTGGAGGGGGGATTATCTTCCATCCCTGAATGACGATCAAAGGGTGCGGACCGGCCCACTGGGATTCCGCTGATATATCACTCCGATACAAAAGGAGAGAACCAAATGAGAGGTCCAATTCCGCTAGATGGCAATTCCCCATCCGTCAAGGTCAATCGCGGATGGATTCATCGCATAGCCCTTCCGAGAATCAAGACGATGAGCATTCCATAATTATATTCATACTCCGTACATACGAGGTACTCATTTCCCCAAGATAAGCAGCCCCAAAAGGGTGGCACTGTCATCAAGCTCGGCTGAATCGCTTATTAATTACCAATATCAGGGGCACCAAGGGCACCAGGAACGCCCGAGTCCCAACAGTACAAAGGCTGACGAGGCTGAAACTTCTGTCGCAAGGCTGAATTGTCCTCTTGCATTTAGTTGACTTTCTGAACAACCACCCTGGTTATACTTGGTCGGAGTAGTCTGTCAGTATTGGGGGATATGTTGGCAACGCGTGAGACCTGCTCATTATTGTATACGTAGAGGATCTGAATTTATAAAAGTCCTAAAGTGCGACACAAAATTAATATTGATGGTTGGTGTCTGTTCTACCCCTCGGTGCCTCCACAGCCAATGACGCAAGGCCTGCCCTGTCTTCCAACTCTTTTTTTTCTCTGCGGGTAAACACCATAGAAACGCATTTCTAAGCGGGGGGCGTCGCATTGATTCCTTATAAGCATCTGCCCTTGCAAGCTCCGAATTGCTCTTCTGACTTTCTTTCTCCTTGTTGCTGATTCTTTTTCCCATACACACTTCCCTTAAACCAACCCCCAATCTATCAGCTCAACATGTCCCACCCTCAACCGGTGCCTCGGCCGCCCGACAATGTGGAACCTGAGGATGATGGCCTGCTGGACGCAGATGAGGCTGCGGAGGAGATAATAGACGACGACCCTGATCACCCAATGGACGATGAAGAGGACGAAGAGATGGAGGGGGAAGAACAAGAAATCCAACTGCAAAACGACTCTGCCGCGCACTTCGACTCCCACACAGATAGCATATTCTGCATAGCGCAACACCCTACCAACCCATCCATCGTGATCACAGGGGGCGGCGATGACGTTGCATACCTTTTTAACGCATCGATACCTAGCACGAATCAATCCACCAGCACCCCTCAGGGCGAGAGAAAAGGCATTCAACCGATTCAAAAGCTGGACGGGCATACCGACTCGGTCAACGCAGTGTCCTTCACATATCCCCGGGGCGAATACGTGGTAACTGCGGGTCTCGACGGAAAATTGCGCACATGGAGGACATCAGAACCCTCGGGATCCAAACAATGGACATTCGTCGCCGAAACCGCCGAAGTAGAAGAGATCAACTGGGTTGCACCATGTCCCAACAAGGATCATGAGAATGTAATAGCCCTTGGTGCCAATGATGGTTCAGTTTGGGTCTATCAGATCAACGCCGACGACAAAGCCAGTCCTCTCACAATCGTTCAGGCGTTTTACCTCCACACTGCATCGTGCACCGCGGGAGCGTGGACGCCAGATGGTTCACTCCTGGCGACAGTCTCAGAAGATGGCAGTCTGTATGTCTCTGACGTCTTCTCCACAGGCCAGGCAGTCGTCTCATTCACCGCCGCAGACCAACGCTTTGAGGTTGAGGGAGGTCTCTACAGCGTGGCATGCACTCCATCTATGGTTGCCGTGGGCGGCGCAGGCGGAAACATCAAAGTCGTCGGTCTGCCACAGCCGGCCGATCAGGCAAAGAAGACTGGGGGCTCTAAAGGCGCCGGGAAACAATCGCAGGCGTCTTCATCAGGACAAATCCTCGCTTCTCTGCAAGTGCAATCAGATGGTGTCGAGACCCTTTCCTTCTCCTCTCCTCCCCTCAATATCCTTGCCTCGGGAAGTGTCGATGGTTCAATAGCCCTTTTCGATACAGCTCATCGCTTTGCGGTGCGGAGACATATAAAAGAAGCGCATGAAGAGTACGCCGTCGTCAAAGTCGAATTTGTCCGAAACCCGCAAAAAGGTGGATGGCTCTTGACCACCGCGGGTATGGACGGTGTTGTCCGGAGATGGGATGTGAGGGGCGGAACGACGGCGGCAGGCCAAGGGTTCGTTCAGGAGTGGAAGGGACACAGAGGGGAGGGAGAAGGGGGCGGCGTTTTGGGGTTCGTCCAAGGTGGCGGTGGGAGCAGAATTGTCACGGCTGGTGACGACGGTGTTGCATTGGTATTCAAGGCGGACATTGCATGAGACAATGAGACCAGCTGCTTCCTCGACCTACTTGTATCTGTGCCCAGTTGGACATCCCAATTGATACGCCACCGAGAACAGCCCTTGGATCCGGATCCGAATCTCTTGTGGATAGAGACCAGAAGTCTTCACTGGATACATCGCCACCGCCATCATGCGTTGGTCCCAAGTCTCTCTCTTCTGGACCCGCCTACGCTGATATCGCCAATCACCTCGAGGCTGACAGGTTGGATCTTTCTGTCTATGTTGGTTTGAATGTCAACATGACAATCCGAGACCAATGCTTGGGGTGCGCTATAGGGCCTGGGCGTAAGCCATCCGACAAATAGAACGCTGTTATGCCGCACGAAAGAATTGAATTGACGAATTCTCAATAGGCTGTGAGATCTCTCCAATGCTTCACTTGTGCTGGCGCTGCAAATTCGCCCATACGGCCCACTGTTGTTCTTAAGGCTTCCGGGGCTCGATGAGGCACAGACAAATCAAGCTGCCCACGACAACCTCAACCACCAAACATCACTGCCCTCTAACTCGTCCACATATTGAGGCCGCAAAACGCCGGTACACCTGTTTTTCTGACTCCTGGTCGTGAGGGAATCTTGAGGCGACAGCCAGGCCACTAGAGAGGACAATAGAATCCCTTGTTGCCATCTCGGTTGCTTCTAGCGGAAGGTTGAATCATTACAAACACAGCAGGCAGATTGTGAAGGCGGACATGGTTATAAAGATGATGATGCAATCACCGTATGCAGAAAGGTGTTACATCCACAAGTTGTTATTGGGCGTATGGGTGAAGAAGGAAAACGGCGCAGGTAAAGGCCGCAGGCTGATGTTGCTGGAGGCACAAATGCATCTTCCACCTACTGAACTTGAACATTTTGGTTACTTCTTCAAACTCCCAAGGCAGTACCGGGAGATCCATTGTTGTTGATCAAATCTCACCACCAACATTGCAGGTGTCATTTATCGTGGAGATAATAAAACCCATTGTCAGGCCAGATGGAAACGGCGAGGATAGAAGACACAAAAGGAAGGGAATATCGGACGATCGAGCAGCAACCTGAAGGTATTATGTCTTTCAACGTCAAGAAATCGAAGCCTTCCTTCGTCGAGCCTTCTCCCATTCTCGCGTCCCAACTCCTACCCGATTACCGCCGCGCGCTCAAGAGCAAGGGTCGTCGAATATTTCCGGCCCCTTTAGCAATCCCACCCGAACACCAACACCACCAGGCTGCCCAACATGGCTCCGGCACGCTTCACAAACAAAATTGCCGGCCAACGTATCCTCTTGGTGGGCGGCACAGGGCCTGTCGGTATTAGCGTTGCACAAGCACTCATTGAATTTGGGGCATCAATCGTTCTCACCTCGTCACGAGAGTCCAAGGTCAAAGATGTGTGTACTCAGCTTGCCAATGACTACCCCGATGCCAAGGGACGCATCTCCGGATATCCCTGCGACTTGGCCAGTTCTACTGTCGACGACAATATTGAAGATCTGTTCAAGAAAGTAGGCGATGTGGACCATATTGTGTATATGGCTGGAGATAGGCTGCCCATGATCCCGCTCGAGGACATTACGATCGAAAAGTGGCACAAGTGCAGCCAAGTTCGAACCATTGCTGCCATCCTGGTTGTCAAAATCGGAGTGAGGTACATGAAGAAGGATCGGCATTCCTCCATTGTCTTGACAGGAGGTTCTATATCTGAGAAACCAATCGCTGGCGGATGGTCGTTGCTGGCCTTCATTGCGGCGGGATTGAATGGCCTAACACGACAACTGGCTTTCGATCTGGCACCCATTCGCATCAATTGTGTCGCTCCTGGGGTTATTGAGACAGATCTTTGGCAGGGTATGGATGAGGAGAGCAAAAAGGAATTCTTTGCGAGCCACGAAAGCAAGATGCCTACCGCCAAAGTCGGACAGCCCGTGGATCTGGCTGAAGCATACCTATACTGTTTGAAAGATGCCAATGCGACGGGAATCGTGATTCATTCCAACAGCGGGACATTCTTGGTGTGAGATGGTAGACTGAATGGAATGGAAGCTTCTCAGCCCGTAACACCATATAGTGTTGAGTTCCAATGGGGACATGGGGACGCAAATAGATGCATTGACCATGCATATTCAATGCGACCATTTCAAGCGAGTTCTTTTTGCCTCGTATTCTCCTAGCCCTATTTTTGGAACCAGATCACTAGGAGTACGACCAGGCGTGCCGGCTAAAATGCCATTGACTCAGCCTTGTTGTCGGTGGCCGTATCCAGCCTTATCACGTGGAGGAGCGGGTAAGGCCTGCGCTCTTCTCTGTGTCTCCTTCCATCTGATATGCTTTCCCTCTCTCCTATTTCGCACAAGTCGAACATAGACGCTTTGGAGAAGCAATCACGCATCTTGATGTCTGAGAAATGAGAGCCCAAGTCCTCGACAAAAGCATCATCAAAGTCTACCAACAGGAGCGACTCAGTACCGGCGTTAATTTTGATTAGCAACCAAGAAGGGGGATTTTTCAAAGCTCAGGTTGACAATCTGTCGACGGAGGAGCGCATTCAACGATCTCAAAGCGATCGTATACGGTCCCCAAATCAACATCCTTTGCGCTCTTTCCTGAACCTTCAAATTGGGAACAAGGGATTCTTCTGTGTTTCCACTCTGCGCCAAAAACTCCCAATCCGCAACCTACAACCCACACCTCAACACAACAACCATGGCGGCCCGTCCGACGCATTCTCATACGGGCGCCCTCCTGCCGGCCATCCTGATGCTTCACGGCGGCGGGTCCAACAGCACGGTGTTCAAGATCCAGTGCCGGCGGCTGATCTGGAACCTGGAGAAGCAGTTCCGGTTCGTGTTCGTGCAGGCGCCCATCGAGGGCACGCCGGGGTTCGGCATGCTGCCCGTGTTTGCGTCCTGCGCGCCCTTTTACCGCTGGGTGACGCGCAAGTTCAAGGCCGGCGAGAGCGACCAGGAGGCCACGCCGCCGGACGAGGTCGAGGCTGTGGACAGTGTCATCCTCAAGGCCATGGAGGCCAACGGCGGCGTCGACAGCTTCAAGGGCATCATCGGCTTCTCGCAAGGGGCACGCCTGGTCCCCGGCCTGCTGCTGCGCCAGAAGATCCAGGAGCGCGACGCCGGTGAAAGTCGCTGGAAGTTCAAGTTCGGCGTCATGATCGGCGGCCCGTTCCCGCCCATCTCCCTCTCCGAGTCGGTCAACGTGCAAGACTACGACCTCCTCAAACAGGTGCCGACCGTCCACGCCTGGGGCCGCGACGACCACGTCAAGCCCGGCTGCGTCGAGCTGATGAAGGCCTGCGAGAGCGACAACTGCTTCCAAATGGACTTCGAGGGCGGCCACCATCTGCCCCTCAAGGACGTCGAGGCAAAAGACCTGTGCGACCTGATCATGGCGGCGTGGTACGCGGCCGGAGGCGAATACGGCGTCAGCGCCGACGAGACGTATTGATTTTTGGGGACGGTAAGAGTGGACGACTGACTGTGTTCCTGGAACCTCTAAAATTGGCTCCAGACGACACGATATTGTCATGATGGGAAAGCCAGCAAGAAGTCCAACAACAGTTTTAGCGATGATAGAGTATAAATTATCCAGATATTAGACCTTGACGAACATAAGCTAAGCTGCAGTGTAACTCTCAAAATGCAACATTCATGAATATCTTTCTGGATCGTATCAGACACCACAAGCAGGCAACCCATATAATATGCCAACAGTCCCTCACGATAATATCTCCTGCTTAACCTCCACCAACCATATTCCCAACGGCCCCGGCCAGTTCCGAGAACAAGATGCCCTTGAGCACAGTCTCGCCCTGGTGTTCGGCCCAGTGGCCCGCGTTGATCAGCCTGCGCTTCCACCCCTTCTTCTGTGCCTCGCTCAGCTCCTCCCATTTCTTCAGTGTCTCCTGTTTCACGACTTCGGCGTCCGACTGGAGAATCTCGGTCGAGATTTCGCCTAGGCTCTCCTCCCGCACGATGATGGCTTTGGGGGTTTCCAGGTTGGAGTTTTCCTCGACGAGATTCTTCAGAGAATCTGTGGCCGATGACACGGCCGAGGAGAGGGTCGAGGTCATTTCGTCCACGGAGCTTTTGAGCTGTTCTGTGGCACTGTGAGCCGCGACGGGGACCTCTGACCCGACCGAACTCATCTGGTCCGCGAGAATATAAGGCTGGGCGACAAGTTCGCGCATCCGCGGTGACAACCAATTCGGCGCCCCCAGGACTGGTGGCACAACGCCACGGATCTCGCAGAATGCCTGCATGAGGAATGCCACCAAGCCGACGACCACAAGGGCGAAGAAAACACTGAATGATGTTTGCACTGCTTCAGAACGCCCTGGAGGAACGAGCACATATCGTGGAGTCTTGGCTGACGGTGGGACGAACGGACGGAGAGGGAGGTAATGGACCACAACAAATTTGTCGACGCCTACAGAGGCCAGGCGAGCGAATTGAGGCCCAGCTGTATCGGCGGCCGCGGGAGTTGGCCCGGTAAAGTTGGACAAGACAAGACGAGTGAGGGGCCCATTGTGAACGCCTTTGATGAAGGCGTATGACCTGAAAACTCCCAATCCAGCCTCTCGCGAAAAGTCGAGCGCCAATATTTCTATCGAGCTGTCATCTCCAGACTGTCCTGCGACGGCGATCACGAACTGCTTGTCGCCTTGTTCCGATTCTGTCAGGCTGCACACATCCAGCCCAACCGCCGCTCTAATAGACTTATTGAGTTGTTTCCGTAGGGATATGCGGGCCTGCGAAAAATCTTGACTGACTCGAAGGACCAATAGATCTGCTCCAGTCCGCGACGGGCGATTCCTAAGAAGCAGCAGATGGCGAGGGGTCAGAAAGCGTAAGGCTCGAAATTTAGGTCTTTGTGAGGAGGGCAGTGAGGTGGAGATTTCAGCGGCGCGGAAGAGAGACGTTGGCGCATCAGGCTTTGATGAGCCAGAGAGCTGCTGCAAAAACACTTCATCATCTGTGCAATATGCGAGCAGATAGTCACTCTTCTCGTCGTCTTCGACTGCCAGATCCACGTCCCCTGCCTCACGGTTACCAAGCTCGATGCGAGAAACCACATCATTCGAGCCGGGTTTTGAGTTCGGGTGAAACACAATGACTTCATTGGTAGGAGCGAGTCCAGACGCGATCGCTGCGAGCCGAGATTTGCCAGGCTTTTTGGTGGGTGAAAACCGTAAGACTCTTTGATATGTCTCGTTCTTGGTGGTGGTTGCAGATTTGAAAAGCGCCGTCCGACCTAGTGGCTGTGAAGCCGGTGTAGAGGCCGAAGGCTTCTCCGCGTCTTCGTCGACCGCACTGCCATCTGCCCTCCTTTTCCTTGCGGGCAACCCAATCTTGAAGGACCTCAGGTGTTCGTTCTTTCCCGCATTCTGGTCGGCAACAGAGCTGTTGATGCCAGCAAAGGCTGTGAGCGCCGTTGGAGATGACTCGGCAACAGCCAGGCTTGTAACGGAGTCTTCATCGCTCGGGAGTTGAATGTCAATAACCTCTTTCAGCTGTTTCCTTTGCGACGTATCGAGTAGGGAGATTTTGTTGGGAACGCCAGTAGATGAAGAGCCTCCACCTCCACCAACGAGTAGAAAATCCGGGTTGAGAGGGTCAAAGTCGGCAGCGTAGAGTGGGTAAGACAATTGTGTCCTGGAAGAGGACACCGTTGGCGCCATCTCAGGGATGGAGAGGCAGAGTTGGAAGGTTACGGTGATGCGGTGTAGACGAGGAGGGCGAAGGGAGGCAAAGGTGTTCGAGAAGGATTATAGAACCGATGATTATATTTCTGCTCACAGAGTTGGTGGACGGTCTATCACAGAAAGACCAGCAGCTTGCAGCTGGTATGAACAAGTTGCTCTTCCAAGTTCCAAATTCACCGATTCCAAGATGGACGTCAGTGACTTCGCTTATCGATAAGCTTAGCGCGAACTCTAACGTAGCGCGTCGACTGCGCTGCACGTGATCACAGATTCCATATCAAATTGATGTTGCTCCGGCTTCGAATTTCGTGTAAAGGCCGACCACCTCGCTTACTATTTCCCAACACTCAACTGTTGCAGGCACACAACACATCGATAAGGCACTGTCAGCAGTCCTTATACGCCCAGCCATGCGCAGGAGATCGACATATGTCACTCACCCGAGTCGCGCTGTCAACCCAGATGATATTCAAGTTCGCCAAAATCAGCTTCTGCTGGGAGCATTGAAAGCAGCACGGGAAGAACGCTTGACTTTGGGTCTCGAGGAATTGCCAACAGAGATAGCCGACTACTTGCGAGAATGCCATGAACTTCATGTCCGTTGGGCACCAGAGCTTCCCTACAATACAACAGCCCCGTTTCTGTCAAGGATCTCCCCTGGTCTACACGTCCAATACACCCCTTTGCACGAAGATCAGGATGATCGACTTTGTGATCTCCTGCACAAAGTTTTCGGAAAGCAGCTTCGATGCGAATCTGCCGGCACCACCTTCATCAGTCCTCCTCTAATCTCTGAACGCTTTGCTCAGACTTCTAGTCTACAATACTATTCTCTTCTCCCTTCGATCAAGCATCTCGTTGCTTACATATACCATTCTGCTTGCACACCAAATGACTTGCAGTGTTTGCACACAGCGTCGCTTCTGAACATTGCTGATGCTGTGGACTTTGATTATGACAGCATTTCCCATGCTCTCACCTTGACCGTGTTCTGGTCCAGACAGCCTGCTGTATTCTACGACCCAATAGGCGACTTCACGACGCTTGATGCGTGGAACCTCGATGTGCAATCCAGAAAGGATGACAGGGTGGAGGTGGGCATTCTCAGCGCGTCACCAGCGCCCGAGCCCTCGGACCTTCAGCTATCAGGCTTTCTTACTGTTGTGGGGGAAGATAATCATCCGAAAGCTACTCTTTTCAGCTTTCCCTCGCGGCATCATACCTTTGGTCCAGATCAAGCAAAGTTCCAGAGATATTCTGTTTCATTTGATGAGCCTACAGGACTGCATCCGACCTTACGAATCTCTTTCCCTTCGGCAGTCTCATTGACCGAGCCTAAGAACAAGCCTCCTGGAAGCGTTTGTGCATTACAGACCTATTTAACTCTTCCTTCGCATATATTTGCCGACAAGTATGCGTTTCTCAGCAAAGATCCGCTTTTTCAAAAGCTCCATCATGTCGGTCAATTGCACTCCATTGCTGGTGAGACAGATCTAGAGGCTCCGAATTATGTCGTCAGCAAATGGGGTTCGACGATGCTGCTCGAAATCCAGACACCCAATGGAAGCGTTGGAGAACCTAAAGCTGCTAGTGGTGCGTGGGATGTGACCATACCATTACACCTACGATATCTGGAACCAAAGAATGGTAGCTCGTCAGAAGTCGAAATACCTTGGCCTGCTGTCTTCTGGGCCTGCACCGCTGACGATGGTACCAAGTTCCCGGTAAATCCGTTCGATCGAATTCATCTTGGTTTCGAAGGATTGTTCGGGCCCAGAACCATGTTCTATCATCTCGACCCAGCCACTGCCGAGGGTGCAGCTCCAGCAAGACTGGTAGAGCGCATTTCCGTGCCAATCTTGGACCTCAATGCTGCAAGTCCCTCAACAATTGAATCCCTAACTATTATTGGGATCGCACTTGGATTTTTGTGGGTGCTATTAAAGCTGAAGCCCTGGTCCACGGCACGGTCCATCCGAGACAAACAGGCTTCGGGAATCAAGAAGGTGCAATGACGAGTTGGCACGCCTTTGTCTGCGGTCAGAGCCGAGCAAGGTCGCAGTGTTTATCATGGCGACAATCGAACAAACACACCGTGTCATGTATTATGTGACTGTTCCGCGGCACGACTCACCAGGTACGCCTACACTAGTATGTGAGTGCAAAGTGACGGTCAACTCGACACTGGGAGTGTACCTCTCTCGGACGCTACCTGGCAAACCACTGTGAGATCTTCTTCAGCAAGGATTGCTCAAGCACTGGTCTCCTACGACAGTGATAGCAACGGCATGATTGCATCCGACTTTACAACTGGCGATGTAACTCGATCATAATCACGGGCCATTAAGTGGTTCCAGCGATTTGCAGGCTCATGTATCACGATGTTGTGGACAGGCATTGCCACTACACCAGCATGTCCACTTGCAGCAGACTTGAATACGAGTTTGACAAGTGACTTTGTCTTGCCGTCGAACGCTTTCTGAGAACTATGTGCGTTTCAAAGAGTCTGATATCTCCCATTCCATCATTTGCGTGCAGGACTTCGCTGGGTCTCCAAGTCTCTCAAAGCTTGCGAGTCTGAGGAAATACAGAGAGCTCGTGCTCTCCTTGCTTTTCGTGGTATTCGCAGCCGAAGAGTCTGGAGCTGGATTCTTCTCGGGCGAGCACGTGGACAACAAGACATGTGAGATTGTTGGGATTTCAAGGTGTATACTCGCCTTGGGTGGGAGCAGCAATCTGAGTTTCCGGGTGCAAGTGTCTCTTCCGGCCATTTCCCTACGCTGCCCTTGTGCTCAGCCCCATGCTTCAAAGGCTGCTAGCGCAGCAAGATGTATTTCTTGGGGATGATGCGCCAAATTTACCACCATGACAAGAAACGTGGGTCATGTTGGAAGTCTCCCTCAACCAACGCCGCCCAGACTTGACCAAAGGTTGCAGAAACGTGTGCACGACGGAGGGGTTTTGTATCTGTATTCCTGAGGTCTGGGTAGCAAGCTGGGTCGCGCCGCACAAGAGGAGAGAGATGAAAAGGCTGAAGGACGAAAGAAATGGGTACTTGGTTACTCAGCTAGCCTGCTTTCAACAGCTCAAGTCGATAACAGACGTGCCTGAGTCTCTATATACACGTCTATATCTCTATATCTCTACACCAATATCCCGATATCCCGATATCCCCACCATACTTCCGTCTCTCTAAACCAATATGCCACTCTACGAGATAGATATCAAAGCACTCCGCAGGGTTGAGTCCAGCGAAGTGAACATCGCCCACCCACCACTTCCACGGTACCGACCCTTTGGATTATCCGAATCCCAAAGCCTGACGCCCAAACACCAGTCACAGTCACGCTCACGGGTACGGTCACAGTCGCGCGGTACGAGTATGTTCTGGGCTACGGGGCAGAATGGGTTCTACCGGTCCCCGGTCCCCAGTTCCCAGTCGCTGAGGGAAGGGAATTTGGGTGGCGACGTTTCGCGGGACTTTGGCTGTTGACAACGTAACGTAACGTAACGCAGCGAAATGTAGGAGGAGGAGGAGGAGGAGGAGGAGGAGGACAGGGACGACCTCAGCTGGAAAGGGAAGTTTGCATCGAAACGTGCGTTCGACTGACATGAGGGTGGAGGAGAGATGGATGGGATTGAGATTGAGATCATCTAGCACTGGACAGGGACGGGCAGGAGAACGAAACAACTTTATGAGCGATCGATGCAATAGCAGGCTTGGGGAGTGTATGGTATGTTCTTGACAGAACGAACACTTGCTTGATTGCTAGATAGCTAGCTAGAGACGCAGTATACTCAACACCTCCGTATACCAGTCATCTCATCAAAGGCCATGATATACTCGTAGTGAGGACTCAATGCGCGGTACTCGGTAGGCCACGCATGGGTCGAGTGTACGCGCGTGAGAACACACAAATGCTGCACGACGGGATGTGCTCAGTGCTCAGTGCTCAGTGCTCAGTATCTTCGTTGTTTCTCCTCCCAGGCTTCAAACCCAGCCGCACTCTCTACGAATGCAAGACCAGAAGAGGATGGCATCGCGGTATGAAGCAGCGAGACCTCGATCGGTCGTGAAAAGGGGTCAGGTCAGGCTGCGCAAGTTCAGCCCGATGTTGTTCGTAGATGCCGGGCGTTTAAAAGCCTGCAATGGATCGCACGAGCAAAACCGGTGAACAGCCTCCTTGTCCAAAGACCGGCTTCGCTTCTTGACCCATCTCTTTGGCCTGTTTCTGTTTGCCTTTCTCTCAGCGCCGCATTGCTCGCGGAGCGCAAGGACCCAGAGGTGGATTCCAAAGGCCCTCAGGACCTTTGGGGATTATGAAACAATGTGGTTACGTCGAAAGGCAGCCGTCAACTGGGTAGAGACTGAGGCACGTCGCGCCCAAACCCCCCTTTGATATGCAGCCAGCCATCAAAGGGTTCCGCATGTTTTTGACGCCGGTATTGGATAGACAAGTCTTTTGCACAACGCCACGAATACGAGTATCATCGACAGCTCACCATGGTGGCGCAGAAAAAGGCAGCCTCGAGGATGAAGTAACAGGACGAGGACTCGGTACCAGGAATTTAGAACTTGCTCCGCAGTTTCAACTAGTGTGAGAGATTGCGTGGAGCAAACACCGAAGGAAGTCTGCTCGTATCCTGAACCAAGCTGTTGCCTTGCACTAAGTGATGAGAGGAGCGCCCCATGCACAGAGTAAGCTTCCTCCTCGCGGCCCCTGAGGGCCAATTTCAATGGGATAAACCGGTGACCGGGTCCCTGTTGTTGCTGGGTTGATTTTCGTCCGGGGGAATCCTAAACCCGTCGCTTAGGCTGACTTGGTTGGATGCCGGGCCGTCGGTGCTTTGAACAGGCCCACCAGAACCATGGGTACCTTCGACACACCGCCAACATGTCCGAGGCAATGAAAGGGAAACCCAGGCAACAGGGCGCAAAGTTGATGTAAGTCGAACCTTTCGATGCCTCGCATGTAGTCACTTGATCATCAACTAGGGTGTTTTGACATGGAATGGTGGAGGTTACGGAGTACTCGTAGATCCAGTGAAGAGGCATCCTTGGTCAAACGCACGAGTTTCTTGATACTTGACGGCAGTGCAGCGGCGACTAAGTGCGACCAAATCAGATTGCGGGAAGCCAGCAAGGCAGCCACCCGCGTCGTCTTTCCACCGGACTTTGGAGCGACTTTGGGTCAAAGTGCAGATGGTCCAGATGCGACCTTTTGAAGCCGATATTTGTGGCACTCCAGTCAATGGTGCTGCAACCTGTCGATAGTGGTTGCCTTTCGATGGAGCATGATGCGTACAGACCAATGAATGAAGGCTGAGACCTTGAATACTCTTGATAGGGAAGTGCAGAGTGGGAGCGGCCAGAAGAGCCCGCACTTGTCACCAACCCAAGCTTTCGGTCACCGCTCAATCAAGGCAGCGCCGGAACTCGTGACGCTTATGTGGCTCCCGAACACGACGTCGCAGGGTTCCTTTTGATGTGTTAGGACCGCCTTGGCCCGCAGTACGCCGTCACCAAAAGACCCAAAGAGTTGGGTGGACAGCAAGGCATCCAGAAGATTCCGCCATTTGCCTCAAACGACAGCCACATGCAAGCCAGGAACCCAACCATCACGGGGGGTGAGTCCTTTGACGACAGGTGTCCTCCCACCGAGGCCCAGCTTAATCCCTCACGATAGGGATGAGATTTTGCCATCGGGGCTATGCTCGGACGAAAGCAGCTGCCGTCACGTGTCGAGCAGAGCAACGAGACCAGAACCTCGAGCGCCGCGTAACAAGATGTGATCAATCGAGGAATAGTCCACCGCGAAGGCACAACCCTCTCTTGGTCCTGTTTGAGGACTGACACCGAAATATTCTGCGGTGGCGCAGGTGGCGTCCTTCCGGAAGATGTGAGAACCTTGTAACAGCTCTTGTCCCACCATTGGTGCCATGTTATTGGGAGTCGTCTTTTGTGCCAGTGGAAGATTGACTCGTCAATCATACCATGTTTAAACCTTTGGGGTTGACTGTTTGGTGGAGGCGACGATCAGGGACCAGGCTGAGCATTCGCCACTACCAATCGCAAAGGTAGAAATGGACTATTACCAAAGGGAGTGTCTGTGATTGGCATGCGGATGCTATACGGTGCCGTCTTGACATTCATAGAGCTGGAAAAAGCACTGAACCTAGCTGACCGGCAAGTGCGATAGTGCGACTCGTTTTGGTTGTGAGGCTGAGCGGCCATGCCATAATGCGGCTGCGGCTCGAATACAATGCGGCCGACAAAACATCCCCGAGAATGCTTTGTATTGCCGCTCGTAGTGTTCGCCAGTGGGCTCTGCGTACGGGGAACGAGATCGAATCTTGTTGACAGAGCAGAGGCTTCCAGAGATAGGGAAAAGGAGGGGAGAAGTCAAGAGGGTGGCGAGCTGAACGACCTGCTGAGATATGTTGGTATTAGCCCTCGCTTGGGGCAGCTGAATATGGATGGGGAGGCGGAAAAATAGTTGTTCCCGCCTCGCCGTATCGCTAAGCGAGGAAGGTGCCAAGAGAGCAAAAGTACTTTGGCGAGAAGAGAAGGCACGGATCGAGCCTGACTAGCCACGTGCTGAACTGTTGAGAGCCAACCGTGGTGCCAATCCTACCACTGTGCATTAGCCTTACATTGGCCACACTTATTCAGCAAGATGGGCCTATGATTGCGCCAGAAACTGATTCCAAGCTTTTGCAGCCCTCACGCTAGTATAAAACTGGAAATTCTCAACGCTAGCCCTCAGCCTAGGACGAACAAGTATGTGGCGTCCAGCACCGAGCTTTATGTCTCTCTCGACCACGATTCAACTTCATATCATGCTATGTGCTTGTACAAGTATGGAGAGCTCCTTCTGCTTCCCAGGACTCTGACAGCAGGTTCATATTCAGAGTTGGACAATGGTTGGTCTCGTCTTGTTATAATTCGCTCCGGCAGCTGGCTTGAGAACGCTCTGAGCTTGATAACTCTGGTGTTGGGGCTATATCACGATTACTTCCTGCCACTAGGATGATACTCTCGACACCTGTGATATGATCACGGACCTCACGGCGAGATTGAGCAGGTAGGGATGCGTCGATATAGACGCCAAATTCCAACTTGATGCGCATTTGAAGCATCTCCACCTCGATGACACTCGGATCGCAATATCATCAGAGTCCTTGTACAGAGCGTTCTCTTTTGATGATGACGAAGTTACTCCGAGGACACGCCTCTCATTGGTCTTGGCAACGACTGGGCCGCTATTATCCGACTGCTGCTCGATTTCAACTCTATCAACCATCCCATATCTGAGAGTCGTCTGGATCCTGGCTTGCTGTTCTGGGTACATAACAGTGTTCACGATCCATTGACACGACCTTCATCCAACATGAACACCCCGACCTCTCAAAGCAACCATCTGATTCAGATACCATCACACTCGTCCAGGGGCAATCCGGTAAGTTTGGCAGCTATTATTGGTTCAGCAAGTATAGCGAGACAGCGAACAGCCGTCACGGACGGGCAAGCAGAAAAAGGACGATTTACCTCTGACCGCCTTCGTCGACAGAGCAGGACGCATTCTCTCCGATCGAGTGCATGATATCTTGGTCATGTGACAAGCAGTGGGAGTGTGGTACATGGACGCACCGCCAATAGACAGTCTTCAGAGGTGACCACGGCACCCTGGCTCAGCATCCCCTCCTGCACAATCAGATGAACGCAACCAAATTTGCAAGGCACATTTTCAATGCCCAGGTCTCATCTAGCAACGTACCAGGATGCAGGTTGGCAGATCAGAGAACGAGAGAAATATCTCAGAACGGCGCGTGAGTCTCAGAACGGCTAGCCTGAAATCACATGTCTCGAATCATAATGCTGGAAAGATGCGGGTCGGGACAGCTAGTGCAATGCCTCCGCGCTTGATTGGCTCTACAGGTTGTTAGTTATAGTTGTCACGCTCTCATTCGCTCGAGTCCGACGTAAGTGCTTGCCTGGTCGATTTTCTTTGGGGTCATCCCTCATGCCTTTCCCCCCCTCCATTGCTGCCTCGTGTCACTCCCTCCTCTTCCTCCTTTTCATGATATTTGTATCGTTCTCGCGCTTTATCTACAGTTTGTCGCTCTCTTCCCGGATCATCTCGTTGGCATCAGCTTGGAGAAACCGGGTGTGAATGCATTGCTGGCATTTTGATATCCATGGCTTCCAACCCCCACATGACGCCCGACACTAGGTGTCGTGTTGCGAGACCAGCTCCGGGTGCTGATCAATCGGTCATGACGCGGGCGAAAAGAGAAGAGTACGTGGCCCGACGGTCCTCGATCCATCCTTTGGGGAGTATAGCCAGAACTGACAACCCGATCGGGGTATGGTGTGTAGGCGCCGACGGATCCCCCTTACGGCATTCACCTTGGTGACCGTCCCCGAGGATTCGATGCTGTCCGTCTATCTGCGAAGCAGGGAAGCAGTCGACACGAGCATGGAGACGAGGATGTCATCCCAAGAGGGACGTCCAAGCTCTTCCTGCCGGAATTCACACTCGACCAGGCAATCACCCCAGCGGCTCCATGACAATGACGACGCCGCGACCGTCAAAGACAAGGCAACCGGAAAAGAACAATCGGCCAGCAACAGCAGCATGGAACTGGAACTCGACAAGTTCATGGCCGCCCTGACAGCTACGGTGTCTCCCGACGCCGTCATCAGAACGATTACCTCCACCAAAGGTATCAAGCTTCAGGCGAAGCGCGAGACGTCGCAAACCAAGACCTAAATCTGTTGCACGAGAGGAATATTAAAATGTCGGATATGATGAAGAACTCAAGGTTCCATGGAAAGACGAGAACTCTCTAGGTCTCCGAGGTTGGCCTGAGGTCACTTTCGTCTCGGTGTGATGAAACCTAAAGGCCATGGGCCAAGATCGATTGGAAATATGTCGCCCACCTGTATCGGGTTATCTATCGGGGCACTGTGGTTGATAAGGATATCCCCATGTCTGTTATGTTATGCGGGCGATTGATGACACTTGGGGGAGTTTGTAGAAAATGTCAACGGTCCCGCGACATAGCAAGTACATTGATCTCATGAACAATCTCACACGGTATCTTCTTGGACATCACCATCACCTCTGCCCTGTCTATCACACCACACCACCTCCGCGGGACCTGGCCTGGCACGTTACCCATCCGTCCGTTCATGAGTTCCGAATCAGAGTCCAGGCGCCAATGGCCAATGGCCAATGTCCCCAATGAGGGGCCACCCGAACATTCTCTCCATGACATACATACAGACATCCCTCTCTTCGCTCGTCTTCGGTCTCGCTCGGTCTTGGCTTTGTGCTTGATCTATCGTCTTTGGTATTTGGCCCCTGTTCTTTGGCATGCTGACTGACGCCGAGTCTTTGGAGAGTTCAAACCGCAGAATCCTGGGTGCTTCCAGCGCGGGAGTGGTCAGCTCCCAGTTTACAGGTTCCAAATGGAGAGTCTTAGCACGCGGTCTGCGGCAAAGGGAACGAACACAAAAGCCTCGTCTGTCAGTTTCAGATACGATGTCAAGACGTGTAAACTATTCTTTGTTTCAAAAAGGATACGAAAGTCGTGTCTCATGATGGGGAAATCCCGTTTCTCTCTTGTTGTCTCTCCTTCCCGCAAATCTACCGTCAGCTTTTTGTTTTGTTCCTCTCCTCTCAAAGTATGCGTTGTTGTCCTTGGTTCACCTTTACGTTTTCAGATTTCTTGAGCCACTTCTTAGACCTTCCATTGCTGCTCGAAGCCCAACCAATCATCACAAGCCAAAGTGCGTAGACGACTTTGATCGTCAACAAACCCGGCGCCGGCAAGTTTCTCTTCCACTTCTGCTCCACGGCGGCCATCTTCCCAAGCATGGTTCTTGCTGGGCCGTACTTGGCTTCCGTGCCAGCTTCACCCAGATCAACCATCCACCTAGCAAAACGCAAGCTTATGCACCCGTCTAATCTTACACATCCTCACTATCGTTGATCTGACTCCCATGTCAATAGTGGTCCTCGCTAGGTTCGTCTAGGTGTTGTTGATCTCTTTCAAAAGTAATTGTTGCTTAGGGGAGGCAAATTACCAATGTCTAGAAGGATCGTCCGGAACCGAAATCGCAGCGCAGATCCTAGCAAAAGGCCGGAACATGTTGGAAGGGCCCTATCACCGGCAAGATCCGTGGCGAGCGGCTTCCTGATCCCTTACAGTTTAGACGTCGGCCATTTGCAGATCACGTTCAGCGCTGAGGGGTGTTTGAACGCGCAACGTATGCATTGACGCACTGCCCGAGAGCGACGAAGCAAAGTTGGTGCAGCCATACTTTTTGGTTGAGGCGTCATATGTAAAGTAGCGATTCAACTAGAAAAGAGTCAGCGGCAGAAGGGCGCAACTTAGAAGTCGCAGACATACCGATGCAAGTCTAACTCCCAGCCAGAGACATCTTTCAGCCCGGGGTGCGGCGTGGCTTGGGAGTTCCAGCGAACGTTCATCCTCGTCGACCACCTGGCCTTCGAAAAAATCGGACGGGAAATAATACGGCGCCCAGACTAAGCCGCGCATGGGAAAGTCCTCGGGCAGCTGTCTTCCCGTACCGGATTGTTGTTGAGGGAACTCCTTGGACTCGACATGTGCATCAACCACTCCAGATCTGCTCAAGCTGTTCAAAGAAACGGCCAGCACATTCCACGGAACATACTTTTCGACGTAGATCAAGGCGCCTGGAACATATGACAGTGACCAAAGGAATGCCAACGTAAGATGGAGAAATGGTAAGATGTTGCGGTCCCCCAGCTTGCCAGCTACTATGGATATAGCCTTGGACCAGACGGGAAGAGCGTACGAAGTTACTTCGTCTGCCGACGTAAATTTGACGTTAACACGATGTTCGGGTGGGAGAGTGGCCTGACGGAAAGCGTTTGCATTGATCGGGCTATTGTGTCCCCAGAATTCGCCATGAATACGTTCCTTAGCCATGGGATCCGGAGTTATTGGAGTACTGCCTTCTTGCTGCTGTTGTTGTGGTTGCTGCTGCTGCTGTGCCTCAGGCTGAGAGCCTTTGAGTTTCTCATGATTGGCACGGAAGATTTGCCAGAGGAAATTCTTGTCGGAACCAAAGTCAAAAAGAAACGCAATGAGGGCAGAAGCTACCTCGGGTCCCTGAACCTTCCAATTCACACCTGATCGTGCTATGTGGTTCTCCAATTCCAATGTAAATCTTTCAGCTTGAAAGCAATATTGATTGATGACACCCTTGGTGAACAGAAGACCGGCAGCGGTAACCAGAGAAGTCTCGAGCTTGGAATGTTTGGAAGGGGGCGCATCCGGCTTAGCCTTTTGGCCGAGAGGAGTGGCTGCGTCCAAGAGTGGATTAAACAACAGCATAATGGAGTCTCGCGCGTTGGGGAACGGGTTGACCGAGATCAGAGCCTTGGAGTAGTAAAACAGCTGGCAAACAATGTTGGGTCTCGCGAGAACCGCCAGGTGGTGCTGAATCCTGCCAGTATCGGGGGAGCGGTCGGCCGCCTTCTGGTACCACATGCGAGCGACGTTCGACCATGTCTCACGATCTCGTAAGTCTGCCTCCTCGATGGCCATACGATACCGGGCCAGGTCGCCCAAGCATTCAATCCAGGTCTCGTGGAAGGCGGGAACCGACTCCATAAGAAGGCCCATCATCTGATAGGCGAGGTAGACGAAGCTCAACATGTGCTCCAAAGAATACGGGAGACGATGGCGGAGCAGCTCGAGGAACGAATGAATCCCATGTCTCCACATGCGCGCAGGCATTGCATATTTTGTGGGGAGCCGCTGCAACGCTGGTGATGCTGTAGGGTGTTGTGATGCCAGGAAAAAGTCATGGTGCTCGTGAAGGAGAGTCCGATGTAAGGCGATTAATGCCTGCCACTGCTCGTTGGAGAGTTTATTGGTGGTTTGCGCTTGCTGGGCACATATCTCTACACACTTCTTCTCCACCATGACCAGACCAGCATATATGCCTTTGACTTCATTGACGAGTTGTTCCTGGGATATGGGTCTTGTCTCTGGCTGGAGAAGTGGTTTGATGTCTGCATCGGCCGAGTAGTCATCCTGGGATGAGTGACCCGAGGTAGGTCGAGGATCAAAGTATTTCCCTCCCGGCTCCGGATGGTAACCTCGAGCACGAGTATTCTGATTCTGACGCGCCAAGGTAGCAAAGTGAGAGACTCCGCGAGGGGAGGAGACGGGCGTCTGATGGGCAGATGGGTATCCCCCTGCCGAGGACGAGTCCGGAGGCGGGGAATGGATATGTGCATAGTCGTGGTCATGGCGGCCAGGAGAGTAAGCTGGAGATGCTGAGCCAGGTCCGATTTTGCTGGGGTGCCACTCTTGTTCAATCGCGGGGCGTTTGGCTGGTCTTGTATCATTTGTGCCATGCGAAGGTCTGACAGAGTCTGCAAGGCTTAACTGTTGCAAAGACTCGCTAGGCTCTTTCTTGATTCGGGGCGACGGCGAATCATGTTGCTGATGACTCCTGGTCCTAGAGCCGAAGAAGATTCAGAACAGGTTTGTCTGAATGGAATGGAAGAGTAATACCTAGACGGAGGATACTGTTTTCGGACCCGCGAATCAGCGGCAATGGCCGTCTGGGCCGATCCGCCGCCGTAAGGTGGGCTGGATGTCAAATGCGGCAATCGTCTATCTCCGGTGGTCGGATGAGACATGGCAGTCAAAGTCCTGAAAAAGCACGAACAAAAGGTCCCAAGTGTTAGTGGCTGGTGTCACACAAAAATCTGTCCGGCGTAAAGTTTCTCCGCGGAAAAGGTTGCGCTTTTGGCAAGGTTCAAATTCCTGTTGAAGGACTTTTGGAAGGGGCCTTTGGCTGGATTGTCCAGGTGGGATATGGTCGTAACTCACCCTAGATCTTGGTCTTAAAGACAGGGGTAAAGATGCTTGAATGGGGTGACCACGATGCCAGAATTTGCGTTATTTTGCTTCCGGAGATGGAGAAATTTAGAGAATTGACCCTGTCTTTTTTGGTGCTGCTGCAAACAGAACACATTCCATGGAGATGAGGATTAAGTCAGAGAGAGGCTCTTCTAGGGGTTTATACCAGCAGCTATGAGAGAGTGGCATGCCTGCCTCTGGGAGAACGCCATCCAGTTCCCGGACTGGCTAAGTTTCCAGGGCTCAGGTGGGGCAGGCAGAGTAACTAGCGTCATGCCCTTTGGTGGTCCGCAAATGGTTCGCACCAAAGACCCCTGTAAAAAAGGCAACCGCGGCTTATGTGCGGCTCAACAACACACCAAGCAGGCTCGGCTAGTTACGTCATCAGACATGCTCCATTTCACTTTCACTTTCACTTTCACTTGCACCTGTACCATAGTAGGTAGCGAGGATATTTCCAACAGAAAATGAAAGAGAATGAATGTTTACACTATCAGAGCATGGAAATTGTTTGCTCTCTTATACATTCTACCTCTACTAATGACTCCTCTCAACCTAGTGTAGACTATCCGTATCAAATAACTCACCTTTCCACCATCGCTCATACTCCTTTGACATCCACCCGTCTCGCTTTGCTACCATCTATCTGCACCATCATTAATTGTGCTCTTCCTTCTGTTGTCCATTATCTCTTTCAAGTTAGATTCTGCAACCAGGCGCCGGACCTAGTCTCCAGTCTCCAGTATCCAGTTCTCAGCCTGATGCCTGCCATTTCATTACAGAGATGCTGCCTCCGTGTGCTGTCGTGCCGCCTGATGACCTTCTAGGTCCCTATGCAATGCTGGCGCCCTGATTTCCCCAACTCACCTGTTCATCTTTTCCATCACCTTCATGCTCTCTAAAGTTCTCTGTACCCAACAACAACCATTGAAAATGCTAACCTCAACCTAGTTGTCGTTCCACGACTGCCTTGCTGAGTTTTCGCCCCCTATGTGTTTAATTTTTGAGGCTGTCGAATCTTGGATCTTGCCCGGTTTACGCCCGAGGCATCAATGACTCTGGCCCTCTGTACCGACATCGTCCGCTGATGCAGCAGCTGACTGACACTATTGAAGTCGATGCACAGGCTACTCTTTTTTTCAGAGTCACAGAACGCTTTCCACCCTCAAGACACTTGCAGGTTTCGACCCAGACCATCCCAGCAGGCCACTCAGGAAAACCCTACTACAGTCACACTACTCACGCAATCTCCGGTGCAGATTGTCATCCACTATCGATGCCAACATGGTCGTTCCCGCAAGAAAGAGGAGGAATCCTTGACAAGACGATAAGGCGACATCGTGCTGCGCGAAAAAGAGGGGGGGAGACACATACACGTACACAGACAGAATACAACAAGTAGAATGGAAAGGAATCAGGAGGGACAAATATCAAGCCTGACGCGTAGCACAGGCACGTCAGATCCGGGGACACTGACCTCTTGGGCAGTACTCACAATGTACGCCGGCGACTCGTCTGCCTCATTCCTCTTTCCAATGGTAGCCTACGAATTGGCAGCAATGGTAACACGGTCACAATCCCTGCGTTTGAAGCCTTTATCGTACCCTTTGAACCGTCACTTGGAGGACAAACCTGCTCCGTCACCTGCAACCTTCAGCACAAACTCCAGGAGTGTTGCCAGCGAGTCCTTCACTTCTGCCTTCCATACCCTTTCTGTCAGAGGACCGCTCCCAAAAGAGAACCACTCTCAACCTGATTGTATGTACCTGGTACAAGAGATATCCTGAGCCAAGAATTTACAAGACTGCTCTTCAAGTCATTGGTTCGCATCCACAATGGTAACGTGACAAGCGAGACTGGCAAGGCAACGAGCGGCACTTTTCCTTCACACCACGTATCTCTCATGTCTTACCACAAATGCCTCGCAACCCCTTTCACGTCACCATTGAGGTGATGAGACACATTCAAATAGCGCTCCCGGCGCCGGGACGTATTGCTTCCTGATTCCCGTCCAAATTGCGGTGCTGACAAACGACAGACATTAAAGCCGCTTCATGCCACTGAGGTGGGTCTCGCGAAGCCATGTCTTCGCCACTGCCGCTCCCTGTTCCGTCAATCGGTACCATACATACGAGGTACTTGTAGGTGAAAGACGTACCGCATGTGTTGATAGTGCTGCTCGCGAGGCCCCGCAAGGAATCAACACGAAACGACTGAGGCGATTGCATCCTCCGGCTCACAGCCTTTTGTCCCCCACAAAGTACCGAATATATCCTGGCTGAAACTCGTAATGGCAGAGGCTGGACTGGCCTTGTGGCGTCTATTGGAACTGGCTTGCGAACACGACCTTGCGGGCGCAACTCTGTTTCCGGTCCGCTGATACTAGGCATCCAGGCCCCGGATTCGCCAAATGCATCAGACTCCCTGCAACCCGAATCGATTACGAGGACGTCTCTAAATATTGACTAGCACTGCTTCCAGGCTATTTGGTTGGCCGGTGCATACCTTAAGTGCATGACTGCCTTTCCCTCTGGAAGGACTCTCAACCTGATCACTAGTACATGCAGCGGGAAAGTAACCCTGTTGACGCATGTGTCTTCTTGTTGACCCAGGAGGGGAATATACTGGGCATCGGCAGCCGATCGCAATCAGCATCTAAAGCAGAATATGTATTGGGCCTCTGGATGACCGTCTCCGATCGGCGGTTCCAGTCGAGGTGCCCACCACCCATGGAATCTCCAGACGGGGACACCGACATGTCGCTAAAGCGGAACAGACATCAGCCGCATGTGGGTGTCAATGAGGGTCCTTACGAGACTAGGGGCGATCAGGCGAGCACGTTCTTGAACGTCTCATTTGCCTACAAGTACTCGTATATGTCCCCCTCAGACACAGTCAGTCTCACCGGTTGTCACATGCGGCTCCGATATATCTTTCAGCCCTATCGCCCCAGTCATTTGACAAGCTTCTCCGCTTCAGTCAGAACTGCGTGGCTTTTGGTTGCCTCTCGCGCTCAACCTGCTCGGAGGATTTGCGCTCATCTTTTTATAAGATCAAGAGGAAAAGATGTTTGAGATTGGGATTTTTGTGACTAACGTGACAGGTGGGAAGCCTTCCCCGGCTTTGGAATTGAGGCTCTGTCGAGAAAAGGCAAAAAGGCGACCACGTGTACCTGACTAAATCCGGAAACGCGGGCTGACAAGAAAGGGACCTATTACGAGGAATTACGCAGTAATTAACTATAAGCCGGACTGGGCACGAGACTAAGGTGTGATTGGATTGTGCCTGGAGTGCCGCTTTCTCCTGCTATACCTGGTCGCCAACCTCTTCGTCAACCTCCTTGATAGATTAGGATGAAGGGACCCCCGCGCTGGAGCTCGGCTGATTGATCCAAAGCTGTCTGTACGCCTTTTGATGATCGCTGTAGGCAAATGGTCACAGTCACAACCGCGGCCTGAGATCCGACATGGATGCAGATCCCGCGGTTTCGTCGACGCCATCCATCTCGTCGGACTCAACGGATATTGGCTTGAAACCTACGCCCCGCCGCCATAGCAAGCTTGGAGTGCCTTGTTTCCCCGTATCTGGACCATGAACGCTTGTCGTCGGAGCAGCTATGGAGCACGCAGATTGGCCGTGTCGCAAGTACTTTTACTTCCACCACGCTGATCACGGACACTCGAAATTGCAGTGTGCTGTTTCTCGGGTGGGCGTCAAGACTTGGTCTGTGATATAGTTGGGCTGCATCACCATTGTCTGAAGTGGCTTCAAACTGGCTGGTCTGGACATGAACAGACTTCAAACGCCGCACAGCAATAGTGCCAGTGCTGCATAAGGCCATGCATATCCCATGCATCATCTGCAAGGCGACCATTCGCAAATTGGCGGGAGCTTGAACGCATTGAATCAATCTGCACTCACGCGCGAGGAAGTTTAAAATCTCTCACACCAGCAGAAATTCAGGTGGCTGGTGACTGGCCAATGGGTGAGAATCTCAGCCTGATCCTTATGGGCGTTAACATGATACGATCCTCGTCATTGATACCCGGTCTAAATCTGGATTGCGAACTCGGCCATTCTCAGGCCAGGAGTCCACCCCGTGACCCTATCCAAAGTCGACAAGTCGCGGTCGAAAACGGGGTTTTTCGGAAACCTTGCGCGCGCGAGGTGCAGGAGCAATGGCCAAAAGTCCTTGCGGCCAAGGCAACACAGAGGCACGGGGCCAGCAATAAGGTGTGAGACCGGTGTACGTGGCAGACTCAAGATGGTAAGGCCGAGCGAGCAACATCCAAGGAGAAGCGGACTACCTTACGAGGTACTATTAGAAGACTTGCGACAGGCCTTTGGACGAGTTGCTCCCTGGCAAGGCAAAGAGGGATTTAGGGCTACGAGGTCTTCTCGGCTTCGTCTCTTGCTTCTTCCCGCGCTTGCAGATGTTCTGGATTTTGCCTTTTCATTCCTCGAGAGGTTGCTGTCGCGAACGAATCAGGACCATCCAGGAGGGAGAAGAGACGTTGGGGGAGGTGCATCTCTACACCCTCAATCTACTCATCCTCTGTTTCAAGACAGCTGACTTTGTCGAACTGTCCCCCATGACTTCTATCATCTGTCCTTGCCCGACAGAGCTCAAAGGACGAGTTCCTATCAGATCGAAAGGGGACACCACCAGGACGGGCCGAGACCATCCCCGACCTCGTGCCATCGAGACAAAAGGAAAAGGAAACAGATCGGGGGGTTTCTCGAGAAGAAGAAAACAACAATAACAGAGAGTGAATGACCCTCCACGGCTCGTGCACTAGCATATCGACGTGACACGACTTGACTCGAGAACAAGAAAAAGAAAAGAAGAAAAAGGTTCGACCCCGTGACAGATTGACTTGGAGATTTGAAGTTTTTCAAGACTTTGTTCTGCTTGGGACAGGACAGGTCAGGTCAGGACAGACAGACAAGTTCAGCTCAGCTCAGCTCAGTTCAATCTTTTCTCTCCTGCCCATTCCTCCCACTTTGCGTGGGTTTCTTCATTGCAACACTCCCCTCCCTCCCTTCTCATCCATTCATTCATTCATGCACCACCTCTCGAAGAAAGAAAAAACGGGGATAGGAACGGTGCAAAAGAAGACCACAAAGGAAACAATTAAAAAAAAAAGAATACTTGAAGAAAATCAGGCAGATTCACTCCCTCCCTCACTCCCTACTCTGCTCGTCTCTTCTCGTCTCTTCTCCTCTATGCTCATTCCTGCATCCCCCCATCCCTTTATACCTCCCTTCATTCGTATTCTCGGAAACCTTGGGTCCCGTTTTCTACGTTTGGTCATGCTCCACACGCATTGCATTCCGAACTCTTCAATACCGCATCCTCTTTCCTTCTGATCGGCTCAGAGGCACGCGAGTCTCGCTGGATCTTGGTGTTGGGCTGGCAGAGATGTGTGTGCAGACAATACAACATGATGTCAACGGACAGTGGCTGCCGGGACGTCAATTGGCAAATCTATATCGAGACTAATGCTGACAAGACAATCTTTTGGCTCATCTATATCGAGTAACAAGATGCACTTAACACACAAGCTCAAGAGAATCCGCTCAAGATGCGCTGCCAAACTTCCGTGCTCACATCACACGCACAAGAATCTCCAACATGATAATCACCCATACTGCAAAGCCAGCCGCGCATGAACGCGTTCATCGCTCTTGTCCAGACTTTGATCGCTCTCGCAGCCGCCTGCGTCATTCAAGAGCCGAGACTACACCTTGGTCCGGCTCTGGAGTCTCAACCCAAATATACTCTCCTGGCACGTGCAACTGGACGACGGCAAAGGGGACATCTCCACCTCGAGTCGTCGTCGTTCAGCCGCTGCCGCATCGAACGATGCCGACGGACTTGTTCAAGTATCAAATCTGAGCACCAGTGACAAATCGCGACGTGCATACAAGGCTCCAACAATGTGTCGACCATCTGCTCACAACATATTCTGCAAGCGATATTAACGGTCATTTCCTCCGGGTGCAGCGCACGTGGTCGTTGCGGTTGAGAGTCAATAGGATTGGCTGGTGGGTGTGTATGTGGGTTGTCTTGCTCACGTCCGGGAGCATCCCGTAACTGTAACGACTCTCTAAAGGTTTCGAATAGTTGCTGATCGTCCTGCCGCCGCATGTAATTCCAGATAGCGTCAACCTGTCGCATTGAATTCCCAGTCCGAGGCGGCCCGCTGCCCAGAATGCCGGGTGCAACTTCTCCTCGCGTCTCCTGCACACCTATGGACTCATTCTCCAGAGATGATCTCTGCTCTTCCGCTTGTCTATAGCGGTTCCAGGCTCGACCGAACATAGCGGTGATGGGGCTCTGGTAACTTTCGGACTCGATTTCCTCGCGGGTGCCGAATGGATTTGTAACGGCTCTTTGCCTCCTTTGGGTCGATGGGCGAGACTCGCCGGGTTCGTTCCGTGGGCGGGCCAACGTTCTCTGTGCTCTGGGATGCGGATGACGCTCGCCTGGCTGGATATCATGGTTTGGTCTTGGTCGCCGGTTTTGTCGAGCCTGCGCCATGTAGTGCAGTGCCCCGTTAATATCAAAATCACGCGATGTCATAGCGGTTGTGGATTGACTAGTGCCGGCGGGAGTGTAGGATGGCCCTGATGCATATAAAGGCAAGCCTTCAGCGGTGGGTGACTGGCCATCGTTGACCCCGTCAAAAGACCAGGACTGCTGTTGGGAATTGGAGAGCGAGAAGGGATTGTTCCGCGGAAGGTCCATGCCGTCGCCTGGTGAAACTGGGGTCTGGTCCGGTGGAACAGCAGCATGAGGAGTGGGAAGGTTGGAAGAGAAGGACAGATGTATCTCAGACTGAGTGTGTAGATCCCAGTAGTCTTATCATGCAGATTAACAATATGCTAATGAGCGAGGGACTTGATAGTTGGAATGTGATGCCAATAACGCTGAAGGTAGAACCACAAAGTGAAAGAAAATGGTCGAGGGACGTACCACGACACTTCCAGCAGTAGCGTTGCCAGCGCTTGCCTTGAAGTCTCATGCCTTGACCGTCAATGTAGAGAGGGTATGCAGTTGCCTGCGGCCGTGTTAGTAGAAGCGATTATGGATGGGAAAGGGCGGCATTTGAATTGTCGGCAAGCACAGAGAGATGCCGCGAAAGGTCTTACGAGAGGTCTTTTGTCCGCGCAGGCGCAGCAACCTGGTACAGCGGTCAGAGCGCAGCCGATGACCGGCTTGTGCTCACACGTCTCTGCCATTGCGAAATGCGATGGTGATGTAGCCTTGTCGGTTGCGCAACGCCGAGGGCTATTTCTTTTGCGAGAGAGACATGTACCCTTGTAGACTGTAGCCGGATCCTGGCACTGTCATTTGATCTAATGATTGAACTGAAGACCCTGCCGGGGATATTGTGAGTTGGGTTGACAAACCCCAAGAAACGAGGTGGATGGTGGTGAAGCCACAATATCGGAATGGAAGAAGAAGCCCCCGCAAGCCGGGTCGCAAGGCTGGAGCAAGGCTGGGCGAGGCTGGACAAGGCTGGACAAGGCTGAACAAGGCTGAACAAGGCTGTGCGAGGCTCCGCTCTGACCGATTTGTTAACTGCGCCCCCTCCAAGACGACTTGTCCGCATCTCAATATCCAGTCTTGCCCGTCACTCATTTTACCATTTGCGATCGAATAGTGAAGTCTCTCACCTCTAAGCCTTATGTGCAGTTCTGTAACACCCGTTACAATGTTCCTTTAGCACTCCTTTACACCCCCTTCTCTCGTTCCGGCACCGAGTCAAAGCGGGACTTTCAACATGCCGCTTATCAAGTTGACCCCTTTACAAGCAAGATTTACAGCATGCCTCTCTGCGTCGGTCGTGCTGTTGTTGCTTTATTTAACTTTAACGAAACCATCCTTTGCATACGCCCTGGAGGCTGACTCCTCTCGGATATCTTCTGAAGACCACAACTTTTACGTTCTACAAGACAGGGATGAAGGGCAGGAGACGGAGGAATCTAGAATAACAGTGCGCGCTGAAGTCGGAGTGTCAGCGCTCGCCAACAACGACCCCGCGAGCAGTAATATCGAGATTGGCCAGACCCAGAACTGGGTATTTCCAAGAGATGCAATAAATGGACCGCATGGGACACCTGGGGTCGGTCTACCAGGCGCAAAGGTTGAGGAGACAGAGTTACTGCTGGAACGGCACGAATTTAGAAAAAGACAGACGGGAAACAAAGTCTACATCACTCTCAACACGTGTCTGCAGCCTTCGCCCAATGCGACCAACGCAATACCTCCTCAATTGCAGATGTACATTTCCTTGTCCGAGTCAAACCAGAAACCAGGCCCGGGAACCGGTGATCCGGACCAACAGACCATTACAGTTGATGGCGGGTATGCGATGTTTGAGGCGGACGCCGACAGTGATGTGTACGTGGGCATCTCTGCGCCCAACACCACGGATTTCTCTGGCATCTGGAATTACAACATTGCTGCGTCGATTGATGCGCCTTTCCACGGGTTCGAGGATCCGGAAGTCAAGAACTTGTATTTCGTCGACGGGGACAATCATGCTGCGCTGCTGATTACAAATGACACAACACAGGCTCTTCCCAATCAGACCATCTATGAAGAATGGATGAAACTGAGTCCTCCGTGGGGTGTCTTTGCAACGAACCAGAATCAGCGGGAAATTCTTGGGATTCAAAAATCGTTCTGCGGCTTAAAAAACAACGCACGACTGGCAGTGAATATCGACAACATCACCAACCAAAATGTCGCCCAGATGACCAACAGAGGGTTGGGTGGCAAGCCGAAAGAGCAGTTCTACATCACAGGTCTCAACGCCACCTCCAAATACTGGGGTATGCTGGTCATGGAAGGCAACTCGACAGACTCGGGCGCCGGCGTGGTGGGAGGAGGTGGCACCGTCTGGGCAGCCATGGAATTCGAGACCAAGACCGACAACAACTGCCGGCTGATGTACAACCTCTCGTTCTGCTCAGAAGTGGCCTACGCTGTCCCCAGCAACCCGAACAAATTCTCGCCAGAGACAGGCCTGCCAGACCTAGCCGCGTTGTACGACTCTTACGCGGCTCAAATGTACCAATACTTCAACTACTCCTTGCAACAAATCCCGTGTAACACCACTTCCAGCGCCCAGTACTCTCTGGCCCGCAACTGCGACGATTGCGCTCGGGCATACAAACAATGGCTCTGCGCCGTGACGATTCCCCGCTGCGCCGACTTTTCAAGCTCGGCTTCGTTTCTCAAACCGCGAAATCTAGGCCAGCCGTTCATCAATGGCTCGAGCATCTCATCTGACCCGTCCCAATTCAATGTCAAGCAGGCCTCTCTCGATGCCGTCGCCACGAATTCTTCACGCAATCCGCTCATCGACACGTCCATCCAACCGGGACCGTACAAGGAAGTCTTACCGTGCGAAGACCTGTGTTACGACCTCGTGCAGAGCTGTCCTGCGAGTTTGGGATTCGCCTGTCCCCTGCGAGGAAAGGGCCTGGAGGATAGTTACGGCAAACGGGTCAACGGGTCCGCCGGCGTCATCAGCTGCAGCTACTTGGGCGCGGCGTATTATCTGAGCGGCACCACCGCCACCACCCTTTCGCGACCGAGTGTATATAGCGTGGCGTTCCTGGCGGTGCTTTTGGGTCTGGGGAATATATTCCTCTAGAGCAAGAGTGAGAGGCTCCTGTTCTGTCTGGTTATCTATATACACGGAGTTTCTTACGAAATACCAAGGATTTGTTTGTTCTCTTTTCTTTCTTTCTCTCTCTCTCTCCCTTCTCTCTTGTAAAGTTGCAGAATAGGATTTTTCTTTTTCTTTACTCCTCTATTTCCGCATCCTATCGTAGTAGTCGTAGTTGTATATACGCGTACTCACCCCCAATGCATGTATGTGCCTACATAGGTACTTAAGAGGGCGGCGAAGGAAGAAAAAGAGAGAGAGAGAGAGAGAGAGAGAGAGAGAGAGAGGGAGGGGGCGGGAGGGGGGCATTCGTCGT